GGGCGGCAGGAGGTGGTAGCCCTTAACAAGCTGTAATGATCTGTGACCTCTGGTAAACATACATAACTATGGAAAATCACCATTTTCAATTGGTAAATCCACTATAAATTGCCATTTTCAATAGCTATGTTAAATTATCAGAGGGTAATGTATACAATGATAACGATTCATAATATCCAACTTCCGCGAAACTTTTGCGAATAAAAAAATATTTCGCGAACTCGAAAAAAAAACTTTCGCGCGGGTTTCCAACATAACACGCATGGCTTTCGCAATTAAAACTCCTTACAAGGACCTTTAGATCGACTGCCTCGGCAGCCACATGGGGTTCCCCCATGGGTGACCGGATTAGCCCGTCATGTTGGATGATTTTGATGAGGGTAGCTACGTCAGACTGGGTGCCCGCCATGATGGGAAAGGTGGATACCACATGTGCGGCGAAGCACGATATATGGGTATCCCAAATTGGGAAATCCTCGGAATGGATATATAAATTCCCTACTAATGGATTGATGACCATCCCTGGCTGTCTCGGTGATTGCCCGGAAATGGTCAATAGAAGACGATTTGAGAAAACGGTGTTTTGACCATGGGACATTGGGGGTTTGCGCGGAAATGGGGAATATCAAAGTTGACTAAGCCTGGAATCTTGGGGGCCATGTGCCCGCCACTTTTTTTGTCCAGGGACTCAAAATGGCGAACTGGATCAGTTCAATTCACCGAATCGAATCACCATGGTGAAGCCAAAGTTATATAGCTGGGATGTAGGATGTTCATGGATGTTCGGATTCCTCATGTCATCCGATCATCCTCCCAATTTTTTGGAAACCTATAGGTTTTGATATGTTTCTAGTTCCCCCCAACTGAAAACGATGAATCCACCACCAGCCACGCCGTATTGTCTCCAGAGTGGATCCTTTTGGGCTCGGACACCACAGGGTGATCTGGTAAGGCTCGGCCTCAGAGCTTTCCCCTTTTGGTTGACGTTTAGTTCGGGAATTAATCCAACAAACAATGGGGAATCCCTATCAACTACTAATAATTATGAATAGTATGTAGTAATAATATTACTGAAAGTAATAGTAATGCTAGTATATGCTAGTTAATACGAGTACATGTTAATACTATACATAGTGCAGTAAACCCAATGTCATCTGCACTATCCCCAAGTCATCACCATTTTATGGCTGGGATTACCCCAGTCATTGTAGGTTTATGGCAGGGCCATGGGGATTCGACGAGGTGACGCTCAATGACCATCAGCCACAGGGCCCACATTACCTCCAACAATCCAACAATAGTAATATGCATACAATACCCAACAAACAAAAAAGCATACCAATCCATCAATGGCACATCTGATACTTTGGTAATCTCTAGCAATAATTCATAGTAAAATACCCCATCTGTAGTAATAATATGTAATAATATTATAACAAAACTAGAAATATATAGTAATAAAGTAATAATACGCCCAACCACCACCTTCTGCCCCAGCCTCTCCCAAACAATGGCAGTCTCTCTTTGACGCTGCCGCCACCGTCGTTGCGGGCTGGCAGCAAAAGCCCAGGATTTGCCGTTATAATATACATTACATCGTATTGCATATGACTAACAATAGAAACAATGTAATGATATGTAATAATCACATATATAGTCACTATTGATAAATATTGATAATGATTCTATACAATAGTAAATCATAATGATAATGATAATAGTCACAGGGTGGTGCCCCACCCAGTTTTAAGTTGGGTTTAAATCACCATTAACTATAGATACTATAGATATATCACCTATATACCATAGTCATTGGACTTATTTGCACGAACTTAGATATCATAAATCAACAACATTATTATCCACATGATTACCCTCTGGTGAACTAACATAGCAATGGAAAATCACCATTCTTAATGGGAAAATCCACTATAAATAGCCATTTTCCATTGCTATGTTAGTTCACCAGAGGGTATCCCCATGTTTGCTGATTAGTCTACCATCAATCAATCTAACCATCACATCCCCCAATTGAGCCGTCCGACGAGAGGTGCATAGAGGTTTGATGCGCCGCCGAGCCCCTGGGCATTCGGGGACCATCGTCTGGCCTTGCGCGGTTTGGGCGTTTGGGTCGGGATTTTAGGGGAAATCCTAGGGATTTGACGGACAATCCTAGGGTTCCTTGGGTTCCTTGTAAAAGTTGAAAGACGTTGGGATGAAATCTATGGCTTTTGTTTAAAATCTCAATTTTCGTGAGATTGAGATCTAATGAACATTACCAAGCTAGGGAGTTATTTCAATCACGGACCTATCAACCCTTAGACAAATTCTGGGAGGTAAATCCACCACTGAAATGCAGCTGAAATCCCTTAGATGGGTGCTGAAAACCCAGCAGTTCTAGATCATTTGCCTAGGGAAAACCATGGCTTTTCCACATCCTTTTTTGGTTTTTAGAGGGTGAAATCAACTGCCGAAACTTCATCCCCACCTCGGCTCACGCCGGCTACGGTCGGACCAGCGCCTGAACGACATGCTACCAAGGCTGGGATTTCACCATGTTTAACGAGCAAAAATGTGCATCTCATGCGATCTATAGCTGAGTGATGATAGCTAAGTTGGTGGGTTTATAGCTCCAATAACTATGGTTTATGGTGTCTATAACTTTAACTAAACGAAAGAGAATGAGAATAGTGTAGGTGAACAGTAAAACTCAAGAATATACTAAGTTACTAGCTGCTTCAGTCCATTGTAGAAATTCCGTTGCCCGGTTGGTGTCTCCTTCTTTCTCGGTGAATCACGCCAAACTATCCATGGCGTGAAGCCCAGCCCGGCAGCCAGCTATTTTCCCAAAAGCATGGGTATCCTGCAAAACATTTGTAACCTTACAGTATCATAAAATTTCTCTGTGCAAACATAAACTTAACCGCATGTACTAGTAACTAGTATAATATATACATACCCATAGGATCCATGTATGCTATATATGGTAACATTTACCATCAATATACCCCCAATGTTAGCATATATACCAGCACCATGGATCCCATGGGATATAGGGCGGTTGATCTAAATTCCTTTATCAGCAAACGGCCATTCTTCGTGAATCAAAACAACTTAAGTGCGGATCCCCACGTTTATCGCAAACGCGGGGGTCTCATGTTGGAACCCTGGCAGCCTTTGTCATGGACAATCTCCATTTACATGGACCGTTAGACAATCAGATAATATCATATACATTGAATATAGCAAGATTTCATATCAAATAACATATAACAATCAGATTATATATGTATATATTATATAATATTCCCCTGTGTATAGCAAGATTTCGTTTCACTAAACTACCCATCCAATCAGTTTCCCCAGGGTTGGAATGCTTCACACCATAGGGAACCCTCGATAACAAATTATGGCAACCCCCCAAAAAAAAGAAAAGTCAATTCCAGGCTTAGAATACCCGTAAATTCTATAGTTTTGTATCTTTTTGGGATTACTTTAAATTTAGAACATGTTTGTCCCACTATGTCAAAGCAAATTTGGGGTCGATATGGGTCTACCATGGTCTACCCTGCTTTTAGACAAATCATGACAGATCCATCTTGGCCTTTTTCTCTCTGCAGGTTTTCTAGCAGAACATGCATGCAACTCTTCTCCATGGCTAAATCGCCACGAGTCCTTGAACAGCTCGGACAAAGGAGCTACAAATGGGATTGGTACAAGGTCTACAAGGTGGGCCCCCCTAAATAGCAAAGTTCGTTTGGGACTAACATAACTAGATTGATAGGAGTAGATTCTGAGTAGATGTTGATTATAGTACGTACATGTACGTACAGTAGATATGTATCATTATGTATATATCTATAGTTCGTGGTAGTTATAAACCAACTTTTAACAGGGATCCCCACTGTGAACCAACACTGGTCATACATGTTTGGCCATTGCAAAAACTTGTCAGGAAGTCAGGGAGTGTACCCTAGCCAAAAAAATAAAATACGAGCACCCGCCCATGTATGTCATCAGAGAGGAAAATTGGGCACATATATAACAAACAGTCCTGTTGATGGAGAATCTATCAGTCGGACCATCACAGATTGTTCCTTAAATCCCCAGACCAATCTACAATTTGGGATGACTATGCCATGATTCTGAGTTGCAGAAAAAAAACCGTTGAAATAAGCATATATTTGGGATGGTTGACGTTACTAATCATTACATTGACTGCTTGGTGAGGTCGTTATAACCCAGGAACAAGTTCTTAGTGCCGGAGAGCTACTTGCCTTGCAAGCAAACGTGGCTGGAAAATCCCTTTTCAACCGATTTTTTGTTCGCTGGGAAGTTATCAAATCTATAAATGAGGGAGTTTTCACCGGAGAGGGTACCCATTAACTGCTCAAAAACCGGACATCGACTGGCGTTTCGAACGCCACGGGCTGAACTTGGACTCACTGCAGCGAGTAGATCGAATCTGGAGCAGGTTTTTTTTAACACAAAAGCAAAAGTTTTGTGTCAATTCCGAATGTCAAAAAAATGACATGTCACCATCTCCAAGTCTCCAAGATTCTATCTACTTCACATGCTTAACATTGAAAAATACATCATTTTACATCTACTAATCTAAACAAAGACTTCACTTTCTGATGTGCCACGACCGCCTCGGGGAGCCGAGGAGGGAAAACGTGGCAACCAACTTCGGCTGTGATGATATTTCAATGTCTGTCCGATAAACATGGTCGATCTTAGTACTATAACATGCTCAAATAAGTTGCCAATCTTAGTATAAACATGTGTCTATAAATGGCTCATCTTTTGCTGGTGATGGTTATGTTCCATTTTGAGGTTTCCTGAAATGGGGCTATCCCAGGGTATCCCTAGTTATCATCCATTTATAGATTGGATTTTCCATGGAAATAAACCAGCTATTGGGGTATCCCCATTTATGGAAACCCCCATTTGTATCCATGTGTAGCAAAACACTCAAGGATCAGACCTTTCACTGCGCCTCACCAGCTGTGTTGGTGATCCGGCACCGGCACCTGCAGCCAATTTTTAGTCAGCATAAGCAGGTCATCGATATACCCAGTAATTTCTCAATAAATCCCAAAACCCTAGGAATATGCTGAACTGAATATCATTGAATATCAAGAATAAACCAAAACTTGGGGATGGTAAAAATTGGGTTTACCTCATGGTTTTCATCCTCGAATCTTGAGGCTCGAATAGGCTATACTGATTTCTTAAACTGATTCAGAGGAAACAAATGGCGAAGCGACACAATCCATCATGAGGATACAAACCAGTAGGTAGTTCCACGCATCTTTGTACCTTCAGCAGCAACAAAAAAACATGTTGTTAATCACATGCTCCATGTGCATTCTATTTACCTACGAAGCTGGGTGATGTTTGCGGGTAAATGTGCGTAAATATTCCAGCACCACGGAGCATCTGGGAATGAACCATATGTGAACAATGGGGATCTGCAGGACAAAATCCCAACATGAGATGTTCATTGTGTACGTGAAGTGGCGGCCAAATAATCTTCAATTTTAAGAAGTAATATGTTTGATGTTTGATAGAGAGCAAGTAATGATAACTAACCCTAGTCAGGCAATTGACTCCAGCTACGATCCGTGGGATGATCCTCCAAGTATGTTTTCGTTCATCGGAACTTCTGACCCTTCAGCTGGGTACCCTCCGCTAGTCAAAAGTGGAAATCGAAACTCATCTAAACCCCCATCCCAAGTAAACTTTTCCCAGATGAGCCATGTTCTAAATGTCTTACATCCTGGCACCAAATAAGGAAATGCTTACGCCATTGCTTACGTTTTGCTTCACGCGCAAAGGTTTTGCTTACGCGCATATCTTTTCTTACGCGGAGCTTACGCTGGCTTACGCACACCACAGTTTTGCTTACGCCACACCCTTACAAGGGGCCCCTTGCTTAACATGAACACAAGGGTTTAGAACGTGGCTCAGATGTTCCTATATGTTTTTTCCCATCTTTCAACCCCTCTAAACCACCATTTCAAGAACAAAAAAAACGTATCTTCGAACATCTCCTATGATTTTCAATGATTTTTGAGCATTTCCCGGCCATGTTTGGTGACACCAGCCATAGACTTTAACTCACCCCGGGCGATGCAAGGCGCCAGAACCAAGGGCTTGGTGCTATGCGTCCACACGAATCCCAAGACCCGTTCTCTCCTGATGGCCCAACAAAAACGAAGCCCAAAAACCAGCGGTTGTTATGGTGAAAGCATGGAAATCACCACGTTGAACACCAGCAAAACATGGTGATTTCAAGTGATTTCCATGTTTTTTTAAGAGCTGATTTATGATAGCTAAGGGAACCACCTGATCCATCATTGTCGCGAATCCTCGAATCATAAGTAGAAGATAGCCCTATTGAATTGCCAATCAAGGAATGACAATCCCCTTCATGGGAAAATAAACATGATACATTTATATGGGGAGTTAAAGAAATATGGCATATGAGATCCCTAAAATGGATGGTTTATAATGGAAAATCCATGAGACACCTATTGAAATGGATGATTTGGGGATATTTGGGGTACCCCCATTTTAGGACCCCCCCATATATCAGCAATGTTTTGACCATCGCCCGTGGATCTACAGACACAATCCATCCTCATGCCACCGTTGGTAGGGGAAAGCGACAAACAACCGCCTGGTTACCCTCTGATCATTTAACATAACTATTGAAGATGGCCCAGTCGAAATATATAGAAATAGTGGATTTACCCATTGATAGCATGGTGATTCATCCATTTCTGGGAGGTATTCCCGTAGCACCAAACAGGGGGCTTCAACCACCACAAGTAGGTGCGGGTCACACTCCCACTTTGTGGAATTGTCAATACCTAAACTACGCACAGATGACCACCTGACAGTCTAACATCTGCAAATGTGAATTCCAATTTTGGCCTACAACCAAAGATCCATGTAAAAATCCTAATTAAATATAATTAAATAGTATAGAAGTTCATGAATGAATGTTATAAAATGTTTTAAAGTCTGAAGCCCAAACCATTCCATGTTTACCCCGTTCGAATTTCTGGATATTTCTGGACCATTCCGGACCCCGCCAGGTGCCCGGTGTCCCGAAGTTCTGTTGCTCATCGAAGATGTTCTTCCAGCGATAGCCCGGGGGTGCTTTGGGCAAATCTCAGCGGACCAAATGCTGGGGCGAGTTTGATTGGAGAGAAAATCATAGGCACATACATAAACAAGCGTTTTTTTAGCTTCTCTGAAAAGTTATATTATATACTGCATAGATACTTATATGTAAACCAAGAATGGGGATTTGGATGTCTACTTTAAAGATAGTAAATGGATAGGGACTGCGGGTTAGCACTGTTGAATAGGGAAACCACTGGGTTTTGGGCCTTTTGGGCTCCCACTTTCCTGGACATATACTACTACTGTATATGGGTTTTCTAAGTCATGGGGGTACCCCCAAATCATCCAAGTCATGGATGACCATGACTTAGTATTGAAACCTATGGTGACTTGGGGGATCCTCCATCAACTTAAGAAACCACCTCAATATTCAACCACTTGGTATAACCCTGGCTCTAGCCTTCAACGAAAAGGGTTCAACAACTCAGCACGGAGCTGGTTCGTAGCTCAGCGTTGTGGTTTTCAGAACCCTGGCCCTTTTGGATTCACAAAATGGTGAGCTCCAATGTTCACTTCCGTTAATGACCTATGGTTTGTAAGTCCCCCATTTCCTGCGGTTATCCCATTTTTCGAAGCGGGTTGGGGTTGCCGTGCACTTGGATTGGGATCCGGAACGCCTGGAAAGCCATGACGGATCCATGGTGCTGCTATGGCAACATGGAACCCATCAATATACCCCCAATGTTAGCATCAATATACCAGCACCATGGATCCGTCATGGGTATGGCTCTGATGAAAATTGTGATCCAAGTTGTGATGGATGACATCCAAGTTGTCGACATGTGCCATTGGGATCCATTGGGTATGATCGAACATGTTAGCTGACATGATTCAACATGAAACCCTTCAATGATTATCGGACTGAGGGTGGCTGGATCTGAAGAGATACCCTCTGGTAAACTAACATAGCTATTGAAAATGGCCATTTATAGTGAGTTTTCCCATTAAAAATGGTGATTTTCCATAGTTATGTTAGTTTACCAGAGGGTAGCCACTTGCAGAGTAAGACATCCGTCCTGAAACCTGAAGTCGATCAGGTAGATGCACGACTCTTCCAGTCACAGAAAAACTTTTAGAAGTTCACCATGGAATGAACTCCGAAATAAGGAGGTTTCCAGAAATGGGGGTACCCCCAAATCATCCATTTATAGATTGGATTTTCTATGAAACAAACCATCCAGCTATTGGGGTACCCCTATTTTGGGAAACCCCCATATCAATGTGGTCATATCTATTGGACCTTCATCTTCTAAGGCCAGTTTCGCCCTGAGTTTCGAAAGCAGCTTGGTCAATCTATGCGAATCTTAGATACCTGGCTTTGGATTCAACCAGATCCCCGATAGGATAGGCCATGGTTTGTTAGTCAACTACCAAAAAAATGGAGATCTACAACTTAGCAACACATCTCGTAACATCTAGTAACAGATCTAGTAGCAAATCTAGTAACAGTACTAGTAGATGTCAAGTAGTTACTAGGTGGATCCAGATCCATCTAGTATGATCAAATGTAACCATACTTGTCAACTAGTTGTTACTGCTAGTAATCTAGAAACTTGTATGATCATCTGGTTGGTGGTCTCAACCCTCTGAAAAATATGAGTTCGTCAGTTGGGAGTATTATTCCCAACTGAATGGAAAGTCTTTTTTTTTCATTTTCCAAACCACCAACCAGTCATAGTTAGTATAGGCTACCAGATACATCCAGGAATCCTATGATCTTCGTAGTTAACAGTTGCTTGTCCGTCCCAGGAATCGCTACCCAGCCACGGACGTTGTAGGTGACCTCTCTGGTGTAGCTCGGCAGATTGTTGGTGAAGACCCAGACGCTATCCTGGCGCCGAGACATGTTTAAACGGCCAATGAACCAGGGAAAATCAATGAAACTCATAGCACGTGAGGATAAACCAATGGATACAATGGGCTATATATTAAATTAAATTGAATTAAATTATATATTATATTATACTTTATTATATTATATTATATTTTACTATATTTTATTATAACAAGCCCACATGCTCCATGTATGGTAAATATTTACCTACAAAACTGTGTGATGTTTGGGGGCAAATGCGGGTAAATGTTCCATACATATACTATATAGGGGTATTCCATGGAAGTCCTAAGTCTTGGGGGTACCCCTCAAATCATCCAGTCGTCCTGGATGACCATGACTTAGTATTGACACCGTTAACATGACTTGGGGTACACCCCCATTTTAGGACACCTCCACATGGCTGTGGCTGAAAATGGAGACTTAAAAAAATTGCCAATGATCTAGGGGAAAATGAGGATTTAAATCATGACCCATGGATACGATGGGATACACAATTTTCAGACAAAGCCAGCCTTGACAGCCTTGACAGCCTTGAAGAAGTGGGGTGTGTAGAAAAACAGTATCTGAAAGTGAGAAAAAAAGCTAAAGTGGCCATGCACATGGAAGAAACGTGCTGATCATTTGTTCAGAAAATCTAACATTTTTTTTGGTGGATTCTACAGGAGGCAAACATCTTAAAACAACCACGCTGACATACTGGAGAATAGAATTACGGCAAGACCCTGAGGTTTGCCCGGACTCGCAACGAGAATCCGGGCAAGCCAAGATGACGATGACGATGACGATGGCGATGGCGATGGCGATGGCGATGATGATGATGATGATGATGATGATGATGGTGACGATGTTGATGACAACTTTGATATTTTGTTGAAACCCTATAAGAAACCTGAATGACTGTTAGTTAGTTGTTCCATCGGGGCGAGGAAATTTGATATCTTTTTGAAACCGTGTAAGAAACCCAAATGACTGTATGGTTAAATTCCATATGATATTATGTAAAAGCAACATGTTCTGGCTGTATGATATGTGAAAGCAATATGTTCTGGTTAACACCCTAGCAACATAATGTTCTCATTAAAAAAACCGTTGATGTCGTACAGAATTCCCGTTTGATTTACGCAAACCCACCTCGTGCGACTATCCTATCCCAATGATCTACCCCTGTGTGCAGGCTAAGTAAATGCATCAACCCAAATGGTAACTTCGGCCAAGCTGGACTTCTACAGCGGCTCGAGATGAACCCAGTTTTCCAAGTCAAGTCTCGGGAAAATGGTTCCTACAAGGGTTTCTGCCCCACTTTTGACCCAGAAACTATCGCCAAAGTGCCAGAAGCGCTCCGTTTCTAACATCTTGCGGGACATATCCAACCATCCAATCATCCAACCCCCCCAACAAAATGATGTTTCTTAACTTTGTATTATTTCCATTCAAGAGTTCTTGAATATTTTCAGATATCTTTCTGGTTGGTGGTTTGAACCCCTCTGAAAAATATGAAAGTCAGTTGGGATAATGG